GAAAATAACAATTGATTCATTTTTCAAAAGAAAAGAGAAAAATAGTGATGACTGTAGCACACAATCTATTCTTGTAACACCAATTTCAAATCTAGAGTCTGTGCCTAATATAGAAAATTTTGTTCAACTTCAGCCAAATATAGTGCCTAATTTGGAACAACCTCCATCCAAAGTTTTGAAAATTGGACAAAACATTGATATTGCTTCCTTGGAACGTGATCTTGGCATACGTCCAAAAATTTCAGATTATCCTATCAATCAACAGGATGAAATTTGTAGGCATATATACAATTTGGTCCCTATCGAAACAACCCACATGTTTATCCACTTTCTGGTCCAAAAGGAAATCTTCATCGATTCAAGCTTATTGGTTGGAAAGATTTCCTTGGTTAGAATATTCACCTGCAAAAGATGCTGCCTTTTGCTTTCCTTGATATTTGTTTGCAAAAAAGCCAAGTGGGAAACAAGGAAGGGTTGAGACATTTACTTTAATCGGATTCAAAAAATGGAAAAAAGTTAACAATGGGGATAAATGTGCATTTTCAACTCACATGGGAAAGGATCCAAATTCAATTCACAATATTGATGTTAGATGCCTTGAAGATTTTAAGAATTAGTCATGTCATGTTGAAAAAGTGTTAGACAAACAAAGCTCACAACAAATTGAGAAGAACCGGTTACATCTCAAAGCTTCTGTTGATGTTGTTAGATGGTTAACTTTTCAAGGTTATGCTTTTAGAAGGCATGATGAAAGCTTAAATTCAAAAAGCCATGGTAATTTTCTTGAGGTTATCAATCTTTTGGCTTCTTATAATAAGGAAGTGAATGAAGTTGTCTTAGGGAATGCCCCACAAAATGCAAAATATACATCTCCAACCATTCAAAAGGAGATTTTACAAGTTTTTGCTAGAAAGGTTCAAGCTGAAATTTGTAAAGAGATTGGTGATGCAAAATTTTGTTTTTGTTGATGAAGCTTATGATGAATCTAAAAGAGAACAAATGTTAATCATTGTTAGATTTGTTGATAAGGATGGGTTTGTGAAGGAGTGTCTTCTAGATGTAGTACATGTCAGAGAGACAAATGCATTGACTCTTAAATAAGAGATTTGTTTTGTTTTATCCCATCACAATCTTAGCATTCAAAATGCTCGGGGTCAAAGGTATGATGGAGCTAGTAATATGCGTGGAGAATGGAATGGATTACAAGCTTTGATTCTTCAAGAATGTCCTTATGCTTATTATGTTCATTGCTTAGCTCATCAATTACAATTAGCTCTTATTGCTGCAGCTAGAGAAGTAGCTGATGTTCATGTTTTTCTTTTTCAAAATTTGACTTCTATAATTAACATTGTCAATTCTTATTGCAAGCGTCATGATGAGTTGCAAGCTACATATACACTTGAAATTGCTCGTTTAGTTAAATTAATGAGATTGAAACAGGAAGAGGAGCCAATCAGTTGGGCACTTTACAAAAACCAATAGACACAAGATGGAATTCTCATTTTAAGTCAATATGTAGCCTTTTACGAATGTTTACTCCAACTACCTTAGTTCTTGAAAATGTGGCTGTTAAAGAATCCACATACTCTCAACAAGGTGATGCTACTTTTGCTCTTAAGTCATTGCTATCATTTGACTTTGTCTTCATTTTACATTTAATAAAGGAAATTATGGGAATTACTGATAAACTTTGGCAAGCTTTGCAACAAAAAATCAAGATATTTTAAATGCTATGGGTTTAGTATCTAGCACAAAATTTTTGCTTCAAGATCTAAGAAATAGTGGTTGGGATACTCTTTTACATGATGTCACTTCTTTTTGTGAGACTCATTCCATCCAAATTCTTGATATGAGTGCTTCTTTTTGTGATATAATTCATTCTCATTGAAAAAAGGATGATATAATAGGTAAGCATCACTATCGAGTGGATATATTCACAAGTGTGTTAGATTATCAATTAAAAGAGCTGAATTGTAGGTTCAATGAGCAAGCTACAGAACTTCTTACTTTGAGCTTAGCTTTGGATCCTCAAAATGAATATAAATCATTCAGTATTGATGACATATACAAACTTGTGGAGAAGTGTTATCCTTCATATTTTTCAGATCAAGAAAAGATTTGTCTAAAATATGAGTTGCAACACTATAAACTTGATGTACCTGTTCATCCAAGATTTTAGAAATTATCTATTGTTTTTGAATAATGTCAAGTGTTGGTGAAAACTAGAAAATCAGAAGTTTATCCTCTCATTGATAGATTGATTTGGCTTGTTTTAACTCTTCCTGTGTCAACAACAACCACTGAACAAGCTTTTTCAGCTATGAAAATCATCAAAACAACACTTCGCAATAAGATGAAAGATGACTTTTTCAAAGATTATATGATTGTTTACATTGAAAAAGAAATTGCAAAAAATTTTACTATAGACTCGATTGTAAATGATTTCTACTTTATGAAACAACGAAGGGCACAGCTTAAAAATTAAAGGTACATACCTTTTGCTATCTTTATTTACAATTTAAAGTATAGCATCTCGCTTGGGTTTCCTTTTTGTTCCCCTGGATGATGCCTCTGCCATGCTTTATCAGCTTAGTTCACTGCAAGTCCCAAAGAAAGCAAGAAGTGGCTAGAACCTCACCATCTCAACGGCTGCTTGGTCCATTTGGGTAAGCAAAAATGGTATTATTTTTGAAAAATAGCCTTGGAATGAAAACAGATTGATTGACTTAATTCAATCTAAAACTTTCTGCTGGATCAAAGGAAATTCTACTTGTGATAAGTTCAGTTTTGTAAATTGGTGTCAATTCCCACTCCACTAGGCAGTAGATTTTTAATTTTTTATTGAACTTTTGATGTAATGCATGGGTGAGTATTCCTTGTACTCTCTTTATTAATAATACTTTTTGATTCAAAAAAAAAAATCTAGCATCTCACCCCCAAAAAAAAAAAATTCTAGCTCCACCCCTGCTTTAATTGGTTGAAATTAGTGTTTATTAGTCAAATTTATACAAAAAATTTAAGTAAAAAAAAACTTTAAAATTATGTCATTTTAATAAAATATTAAAAGAAATAAGTAAAATAATATTATTTTTTATTTAAAATGTAGGTTAATATTGTTTCTTTTGGTAAGAATTTGTTTAAATTTCGTAATTTTAAAGTATTTAGAAGACAAAAGCAAACCACGTCTAAATCTCTTCCATGTTTTCCTCAAGCCATGCCTTTCCTTCATTCCCATTTTTGCATTGTGTTGAAGAGGTATGCCTCCAAGAATCGAAACTAAGAGCATATGTACAACACATGCTCACTTTTTTGTTCTCGTTGGAATATAGAACAAAACTTGGAGTTTTTGTCTAATACAGCATCTTTTTCTGTTTTCAAAAAGAGCTGAGCTCATTGCACCGAGCTTGCCTCTAAGATTTTTTTGCCTGCATGCATGTCAGGCTGTGTAGGCAATGAAAAATCAATGCCTACACACCCACTTTAGCGGTTGGATTTCAAAGCTGTAAAATCCAATGGCTGATATTTCTATTTAAAAAAAATTTAATTTAAATATTTTGTTTTAAATGAAATAATATTAATATAATTTTTTAAAAAGCTTTATTTAAATGTATACATCAAAGAGTAAGAGTTTTATTAAGTATTTTATTTTAGGTTAAAACCTCAATTTGGTCCCTAAACTATTGTACAGACCTTGTTTTGGTTTTTGAACTAAAAAAATCACTGATTTGGTCCTTGAACTATACCCTCGATTTAGTTCTTATTGTTTACTAATTTAGCCCCAAGTTGGTTCTTTCATACAAAAAACAGTTGACATGTCCGTTACTTAAAAACAGTAACTTAACAGTCATGTGTCACATTAATAATAAGACATGTTAACTGTTTTTTGTGCAGAATGACTAACTTGAGATAAATTGGTAAACAGTAGAAACCAAATTGGAGGTCCATACAATAGTTCAGGGACCAAATTGAAGATTTAACCTTTATTTTACGGTAAAATATATAAAATAATATTAATTATGATGATATTATACCAAAATAAAATTTTCATTGTTTTCAATTGTACATGTTTTAATGCATGCTACTCCGGATGGTCACCAACCTGGTTTGTAGCCTTATATTTGGCAAGAGCTCCCGCTTCATTAGGTACTTGTTCATTAGGATTAGATTGGTTCTCGATGAATAATTACCTTTTAGCCATTCAAGCATCTCTGCATTCCTTGTTTCCAACGGAGGGCTTAGCAATCACCGAGGAAACATTTTGTTGGTCAATCAAAAACTTGGTTGACGGAGATGCTATCAACTTACCATCTGAAAGAACTCTTTCCTCAAAAACCTTAGGACCCCAATTGTTTGCGACTTCTGCCCTTGATCATGTTCCGTACAGTTTAGGAACTTTTTCCCCTCTAGAAATGTTTTTAAATCTAAACTGATCGAACAATTTCTGACCTCTAGTTATCAGTTTAAATGATTTGACTAATTTAACTAAATAAAAATTTGGTTTGATCGAATTATTAATTATTATAAAAATATATAATAAATATATA